TTTTTTTTTAATTATTTTGGAATCTTACTTTTAATAAGTCCTTCTTCGCACTTCCTTTCTTATAATCGGGATATTTACAGTAACGAGGACGTTACTATTTTAAAAAGGGAAGGGCCTTACCAGTTACTACTTCTCCAGCAACGTCTTTTACTAGTATTTTAAACACAGTTACTAGTTAAACAGCGAAAGTGGGAAATTTAAACAGCAGAGATAAGCTTAAAACTAGCTTAGGGTAAGCTTAAAGGTAAAAAAAAAAAAAAGAAAACAAATCTCCCTATTTACTATTCTGACCTTACTTTTAAATTAGGAAATTAAAACAACTATATAAACTTTTTCTATATAATAACCTTTTTTTTTTACATTTTATTTTTATATACCTTTAAAGCTGCCTAAACCTAAAAGCCAAGAAAGAACACCTTCTTGCGAGAAGATTTCAAGATGCCGCCAAAGAGACAAAAGACTAAAAAAGTTAAGGGCCCGGGGCCTATAACTTCAAATCCTACTACCTCACGACCCAGAAGAACACGAGCGTCTTCGGAAGGCGAAGCAAAGGAGGTAGTAAGTTAAGTAGTACAAGACTAAAAACTAATAGGTGGATAATATTTATTTATTTAACACTGGATAAAAAACTATTTGTTGGACACCAACGCTGCCCTTAAGGAAGTTAAAAACATGGTGCAAAAAATAAAGTCTATAAAAAAAGTATATAGAGTTATTCGCGACTATAAAAAGCTGCTAAGGCATAGGTCTGAAGTAACTAATCTAGCTAATACCCGATTTTTTAAAGGACTAAAGAATATAAAGGCCTACAAAAAACATTATTACCAAGACCCAGGACTCTGGCAGGACCTAACAGAAATTAAGAGAAGGGCTTACAACACTTAAAGAATATTAGCTAAGAACTAGAACAGAGTAACTAAACTGTGGGGTTTAAAGCTAATAAAAAGATATACAAAGAATGCATCTGGGAAAAATTTCTTAAAAATTATTAAAAAAAAAAAAAAAAAAAAAAAATAGAACAACTACGCACCCTCCAACCCAACCCCCACATTTGGGGGTATTGGGTACTGATTCATACATCGTTTTATAGCCCTTTTCAAGCTTAGTCACTTCTCCACTTTTCTTGATACAACAGTCCAATCACGTTCCATGTTTTGATGAAAAAGACTGCGGGTTTCGTGTGAAAATTTTTTTTTCGTGTTCCCGCGCTCCCGAGCTCGGGCTGCCTGGAACCACCAACAACGCAGCTCCCGCGTTCTGCCTCCCGCCACCGCCACCTCCCGCAGAAGCCCCCAACACCAACCCCCAACACCGCAACTAGACTGCGGCAAAACCGCGGTTTTGGGTATCATAGTCAAAACCACAACCGCAGATTTGCGGTTTTGGATATCACTTTGAAAACCGCAACCGCAACCGCAGATTTGTGGTTTAACCACGGTTACCCATGGATAACCGCATGAAAACCGCACTAGCATAACTCTCGCTTCTTTAACCAATTCTAGCATATCAGGTGACACTTATGCAGCTTACATACTCTTGTTTTTAATTTGAAAATACACCTGTTCTGGTTAATACAGTGAGCCCGGTTAACCTCTCAGGCCAATTGTTCTTATTGTCCCTACTGTCCCTATTGCCCCTATTGGTTGTAGCTCCTCTAACGTTTTATATACGTGTACCCAGGCAATATGCTCCTGGGAGTGTACGATAATAAGCTATTCCGAAAACTTAAAGACAAGGAATGTGTTGCAGGCCACGCCCGTATATTACTCCTATTCGCCTTCGCTGCAATTGGCGCACATGATTGGTCCGCTTATTGCAGTTATATAACCTCTTGTAGTATAAGAACACACAATTCTTCCCCTTTACTTTCTTTTATCTTAACGATTCCTCTTTGTATATATCTAGTTATTAGATAGCAAGGCATTTCGCCCCTGTTAAAGTATGTTTGTTTGCCCTAAAAGTTAAATAAAAGCATGAAAATAATAAAAATATCTAAAGGTCCTCCATAGGATTAGGCACTGGACGAGTCTATATTAGCCAGCTGCAGTACAGATGGTCTAATATAGACACAAGCACCTACTAGGAATCGAACCCAGTACCTCTAGATTACTAGATCTAATGCATTACCACTAGACCATTGGTATATTATAAGTAACCAAGAAGGTACATGGCATTATATCACTGCCGTGAGGTCCTGGCCCGATCGTAGCATCACTATTCACCAAAGTCAGCAAGTAATATTGCTTCCTTGCAACGCATGAGTTATTGTAGCATTAGTTTGCAATGTTGGTTTGTGCAGTTTCTTGCTTATTTTATCTTCTATATTTGGTCGTGGGAGGGCGATAGAGCATGGTAATATATATAGATATCTACTTTACCGCTCACCTTGATCCTTATTCTTAAATAACGAGCCGAATATTGATATATCGCCTCTTATTTTACGTAGCTAGTAAGTGGTGTTTGTCTGAGATTTTAAGATTACTAAGGAAATCAGGATGTTGTTGTAAAATATATATTTTATACAAACAGAAGTTAGTACACTCACTGAATGAACTTTATAAGATTTCGTAGGTTGACTAAATCAGGCTATTATAGATAAAAATTATTACTAAAGAATACAGAAGAGCCTATTATACTTATATTTTACTTTAAATTAGTATATTTACTTAAAAATTCAGGAGAAACCAGGTTTCTATTTCAAATTGCTTGAATTTGGTGATTTTTTCCATTGCGGTTATCTTGTGGTTATCCATGATAACCGCAAGATAACCGCGTTAAAACCGCATTAAAACCGCACTACCATCGCTAGTCACCCAATTAACATAGAGTATAGTTTTGTACAGGTCGAACTCGCGGTTGCGACCTGTTTATCTCCTAAATAATAGGGGAATTCCTGTAAGTCCCTCTCCCTTTCTCTTCTCCTGATGTCTCTTTATTATTTCTAGTTTCTAATCTTTAGGAACTTACGACAATGTCTCAGTCCCAAGTATCCTTTTATTCTGATTCCTTTATCAATCCCGATCTTCTTCAATCAGATGACCTTCCTGATTTACCAAGCAGTCAACCAACTGTGACTTCTATTCCTTTTACTCCCCTCCGCGATTTTCTTATGCGCCGAAGTCACTTGAACGTGTCGGATCTACACTTCGAAAGTTCTGGATTCTCTATGCTACTAAACCTGAGATGGATGACTCCCGGAAACAATTCGTGGAATGGTGGTTAACAACTACGTTTGGATTGAACTCTCAATGCCGAGATAGCTTACATTGGGATGGGAAAAAAACATCAGTGCTTTGGGAGCATTTTGAACAGGTTGCACACGAGAAGACTGGCGAGCCCAAGGTTATGTGTAAGCGGTGTTTTGCAACCCTTACTCATCCAGGTTATAAGCGTACGGGAACCTCTGCACTTAAAGCACATCTGAACGGTGGTACATGTCGCTTAGAAAAAAAGAGGCAAGGGATTGACCAGTTAATACGTGAATCAGTACGTTTTGAATATTGTTTTAAAGATATAGAGAGAGACTACTAATATTAGTATTATCTAGCCGCGTGCACTAACAAAGGTCTTTACCAATGATCTTTTCCAGCGAAGAATTCTTAACTTTATTACCACCGCCCGTCTCCCATTTCGTATTGTTGAACACCCAGAGTTTAAAGGCCTTCTTGAAGCTGCCCAACTCTCTGAATCAAGGCTTGATATTCCTTCTGCGCGGACTATCCGACGACTTTTAGACAACACTGTCCAGGAAAGGCAACAAAATGTGCTTAGCAAACTTCCAAAAGGAAGCTATCTCTCAGTTGCACTTGACTGCTGGACATCTCCCTTTTCCCAGGCATTTATGGCAATTACTGGATATTTTCTTGATCAAGAATGGAATTACTGCGAGGTCCTTCTTGGTTTTGAGCATCTCCAAGGATCGCATACCGGTGCTCACTTAAGTCAGACTGTGATTCGAATACTCATGGAACATAATATTGATAATCGTGTATTATCAATTACCACAGATAATGCGTCAAATAACAACACCATGATGGTAGGTTCCAAGAGATATTAATCGCAAGCTCTAAGTGGGACTTCTGTCTTCCGAATTCCATGTATTGCGCATGTTATCCAGCTTAGCCTAAAGGATCTACTTGGAAAGATAAAAGCAAATCCAACAAATAAGGAAGCAAGACTGAGTGGTCTGATTCGCGTACACAGTCACTACAAACTAGCTCTCGGCAGCCTACAAGGAATATTATGGGAACCTTAAAAAAGGTAAGTATATCTTCGCGCTCTCTTTATACTTATACTAATATATATTATCCTTAGATTCGAGAGCTCGCTGTCTTTATCAATGCTAGTCCACAGCGCAGGGAAGCTTTTCTTACCCTTCAAACTACTGAGCCTAAGCTTGTTCCGATCCAAGATGTTCGCACACGCTGGAATTCTACCTTTCTGATGCATAATCGTGCCAGGAAATTACAATCAGTCTTTGATCGGTATTGTATAACATATCAACATATTCAATTTAAGCTAGATGAAGAGGAATGGCGCCAAGTTGAATATTTGCTTCTGATCACTAAGCCTTTCTTTGATTTTACTAGTGTATTATCAAAGACCAGAGATGTTACAGTTCACCATGTCTTCAGTATCTATAATCGGCTATTTAATCATCTTGATGACGTTGAGAAGAAACTGAAACGTAAAGCTGTCCCATGGAAAAGGAGAATGCTTCAGGCACTTCAGTCAGCAAAAAAAAGCTCTCAAAATACTACACTGAAACAGACAATGAGTCATATGGCACAGTCTATGCGATTGCAACAATTCTCTGTCCATCAAAGAAGCTTCGATACTTTGATAATGCGGATTGGAGAGGAAAAATGAGAAAGGAGAGGAAGTCGATTTCATGAAGCATTACCGGGAGGTTTTACAGAAGGAGTTTAAGCGATATCAGCAGCAGGTTATCCAGGAAACAGAACCGGTTGATAACCAAGCAATCTTTGATCCTGCTGAAAATGAGGCTTGAGCTATTATGTGAATCACAGACAGCTCTACAAGCTGAAGTGGATCAACCGGAGGATGAAATAACACGGTATTTGGCAAAAGGTACATATTCTCTATTTCTATACTATTCTGAAGTTAATTAATTTTATAGGGCTCACAAAAGGTAATCCTCGGGTCTTCTGGAAGGAGCATGAGCACGAGTATCCAGTCCTTGCAAAGATTGCACGAGATATCCTCTCAGTTCCTGCAAGTGGCGCTGGTGTTGAGCGGCTTTTTAATTGTGCTCGTGATGTCTGTCACTATCGTCGGGGACAGTTAAAGCCAGGCACAATTAAAGATCTAATGCTCCATCTCTTCTCATCTAAGTTTGATCTTGAACAAAGCGAGCTAGAGATGATTAAAGAGTATCTCTCTGTCGGAGAGGCTGCTATGCTTGATCAGACAAGACAGCCTGTTCCATCGCTTAATGAACTCGAACCAATTAGTGATAATGAAGAAGAGGGTTGCGAAGCAGAGGATTTATCTGAGGATGATACAGATGAATCTGATAACGAGGCAGAAGAAGGGTTATCTACCACGCAGCCTGTAGCTCAAACTAAGCAGGTACAACGGAAGCGGTGCCGAAGTAACACCTCTGAGGCTATAGATGATGCTGATAATGGTCTCCCACTTCCCGATATGCCAATTGAGAAGACGCAGGCGCGGTCAGGGAGGGTTCGGAAGAGGCCTAAGCTACCTGAGGGATTTGAGATTGATAAGCTGTAATATTAGAGACTTAGAAGAGAAATCGAATTTGGTCTAAAAGTGTATTCTAAAGGTTTCAAATTAAGAGATATAGGTAATCTATTACATACTAGATACTCCAAAAATACTGCGAAAAGTGCACAATTTATGCATTCACTGGAAAGTCACGAGTTTCAGCATGTTTGTAATGTTTACATATCCATGGATAACCGCAAAACCGCGGTTCTCCAAAGTGAAAACCGCAACCGCCCACAGTGCGGTTTGCGGTTTTAAATCAGCCCCAAAACCGCAAATTTGCGGTTGCGGTTTTGGTTATCCGCGGTTGTCCATGGTTTTGCCGCAGTCTAACCGCAACGCTCGAACGGTCCCTGCGGAACACCCTACCTAGGAAAGGAAAGCTCTATAAGTCTACACTTATATCTACTCCCGCGCCTACTAGGGGTTTAAAGAACTCCTAGATAAGCCTCTAACTGTTACATGTGATTGAAATTTTGATATCCTTGTGATACTTTTGGGCCGCTACTAGTTATAGTTCTCTAGGCCTCTATAACACCATCACTGTCCTGGAGAGGGATAAGAGGTGGGGACCTAGCTGCCCTGCATACCACAGCAGTTATTTTTTAGCCGGGTATTCTGCAAAAACAATAAAACCGTGCTTTTAGTTTACCACTTCTCTTTAAAAGGGGTGAGATTTTTTCCTGCGTTTTACTCCACCAAAACAGGAAGCTTGGACTGCCCTGTAGAATTCACTAGTAGAAAGCCTAAGCTTACTTGCAAGAAGAAACTGTGAGCTGTATCCCCAGTACTACGGCTCCTAGCAATATCTTTCTAAAGCTGTTTAGCTTAGATAGGTATAGGAAAACTAGTGCTGGACCAGAGATATAGGGAACAGTGGAGTCGAGCTAGTACGCTTACGCTGGTTTTTCGAAGCTTCCCTTTAAAAAGCTTTTTGTGGTTTAGAGATTCCCTTTAAAATCTTTACTTACTAGCTAAATCCCTAGCTAGTAAAGTTTTTTAGGATCCTACCTGGTTTACTTTTCCACCTGTTTATTTCTTTTTCTCCTTTTATTTTCCCTTGTCTATCAGAGAGAAGAATGGGGTCTTTTGAAGACCCAACCACCCCACCTAGGGACTCGTCACCCAACCCATCGCAGCCACCAAGCCCTAAAAAAGGGACCAAAGGCAAAAGAAAACACTCGTTCATCAGCCCAAAGGCAAGACTTGAGTTTAGGCCTGATTCCAATTCTCCTCCTGAGAGCCCTAATTCCTTTGCGTCATTAAGTCAAATGTCTGAAGATGAAGAGGTGCTCCTTAATAAAAAGGAGATGGAAAAAGCTTTGCAAAAACAAATAGAAAGTGATGCCAAACAAAGTTATATCCAAAAACTTGAGTCTGCAAAGATCTTACTGCAAGAGATCCACCATAGTTTAGCAAATGCTAAGATCCTTGAAGCTCTAGATATGCATCTGGAGGGCCTCTCAGCTATCCAAGACAAATTGCAAAATCCGGAAGCTAAAGGATCCCTGCTTTCCAAAGACAATCAACTTCAAAAACTCCAGAAAGAGGTTAACGCTATTAATCAAAAACTTGATAAAATAGCCTTAGCCTCTTCTCAACCAGAGCAAAACTAGTAAAGCCTTCATACGCAGCAGCAGTCCAAAAAGGAATAAAACCACAAGTAGTTATCCCAACCAAGAAACAAGATCAGCCAAAACGGGTAGAACAGGCCGCCTACAAAGGCAGTAGACTTATTCTAGAGGTTTCTGCAGCAATTTCTGCAAGACCTAGACTCCTTAAAGCTCCGAAACCAAATCAACCACCAGTTCCAGATAAAAGAAAAGGTAGACAAACCTATAGTAAGGACAGCAAGCACTTCCTTTACTAAAAGGACCCTTATCCTCACCACAATGGACGGTATTCAGGCGCCTTATTTAATAGAGAAGCTGGATGTCTGGAAACCACTTATCCCCTATACTAGGTGGATGTTTGATGAACCATGGGCAAAAATAGTTATTCACATGGTCCCCACCAGGCCTTTTTTGAAACCCAAGAAGGCATGCAGATGCTCAAGGAAGAGATTGAAATCTTTAACCCAGGTTTAAAACTAATGAGGCCTCCAACATGGCTGACCCCAGAACATGTTCGCGAGACCAAAAAATCACTCCTCTATTGTAGTGGACGTGCAGAATGAAGCCATGGCATCCAAGGCAATTAAAAATCAACTCTGTGTTGCAGGAGCTTTATGTAGAGCTACTAAATATATAGAGAAAAACTGCCCAATGCCAAAAATGCCAAGGATACAAGCATATTGCCAAATACTGCAAGAATAATCCAAAATGTGCTATTTGCGCAGAAAGGCATGAAACCCAATACCATGAATGTTCCACATGCGAAGTAAAAAGCCAGGAATGTCCCCACACACAGGTTAAATGCGCTAATTGCAGTCAAGCCCACAGAGCAGATAGCAAAACTGCAAGGAATGGGAAAAAGTCAAACCAAAACCAAGGCCTAGGCCTACAGAAAGACCAATCCCAAACAGTAGCATGGAATTAGATTACTAATGAATCAGAAAAACACTGATTTAGGAATCTATTTCCTGCAAAATAATACTGGACGCAATCAGAATGCTATGTTATCTTGCCTAGAAATAGGCCTAGAGCTTAATATTGACTTTATTATTCTCCAGGAACCATGGATATCGCCTGATAATAGCTTTACTATATCCCACCCAGCATATACTCCTATCCTTCCTGAACAAACCAAGGTTAGACCTAGAGTAGCAATCTACCACAGAAAGTTATCGAGGTTTAACTATTGCCAAAGGAACGATATTAGCACTGATAGTGATCTGCTAGTAATAGATATTTTAGGAGCAGGAATTCAAGATCTGCAGCTAATAAATATATATAACGAGCAATCACTAGAGGAAGGTGCTGAGTGGACAATAGAAAGAGCCCTAGCTAGGATCACCCCCTCCGCACATGCACTAATAGGAGGGGACTTTAATGCACACCATAGCTGGTGGAATTCAAAGACGCTATCACCTACCAGAGCTGATACTTTGATTAAATGGCTTGAAGAACATCAATGTGAACTGCTAAATAAGCCTGACCTGCAAACATGCTATAGAAAAGGAATGAAGAATATCTCTGTTATTGACTTAACCTTTATTACCAAAGGTCTAAATCGGTATAGAGTTAATTGGGAGATTGACCAAGAGCTTGCCTCAGGATCGGACCACGAAATCCTGCTTTATTCTGTTGAAGAAAAACGCAAGAAATCGCAAACCCCTGGCTAGTTTACCATATAACCTGAAAAAAGGCGAATTGGGCGCTATTTAGCGAAAGACTCCTTAAGCTAGACCAAGAATTTAGACAGGGAAGCTTAAATAGTGACATAGAGCTAGAAACTGCAGCTCTAAATCTCCAACAAATAATACAGATGGCTGCAGATACAAGTATTCCAAGAAGAAAACCATCTGCCCAGTCAAAAGCATGGTGGTCAGAGGAACTCAAAAACTGAGAAAACAGCTTGGAAAAGCTAGAAAGCTTTGGAAAAATAACCCTTGTACAGAGCTCTACGAGAATCTTTTAGAGATTAAAAATCAATATTTCCAGGAGATCAAGCAAGCTAAATCAGCATGCTGGAATAAATTCCTGGAAGAAGCTCGGAATAAGGAGATTTTTAAAGCTTTTAGCTATACTAAAAAGAGATCTATCCAAAACTGCCCATCTTGACCTATTCTGTGGGAAATCAAGAAAAGCAAGCAATCTCTTTTCAAGATAAATGCCATGCATTTCTTTCCACCTTGTTCCAAAACCCCCGGAGGCTGAGCCCATTGAGTGGCTAACTAACAAGGCAGAATCAACCAACTGGCCAGAAACCAGCGAAAACGAAGTATACACTGCTATCTTTAGTAGTTCTACTAAAAAGGCCCCTGGGCCTGATGACATTTCATTCTTAATTATTCAAAAGGCTTACCAAAACATTGCTCCAAGATTCCACGAGCTTTATAAAGCCTTAATTAAAAATGGTTATCATCCCAGATGCTGGAAAACTGCCAAAGGGGTTATCCTTAAAAATCGGCGTCTGCCAAAAGGGATTACTCAAGCCAAAGGCCTACAGAGTTATTTCCCTGCTTAACTGCCTAGGCAAGGTAGTAGAGAAGATTATTGCAACTAGGCTATCTTATCTAGCTGAACTCCCGCAATCAATCCTTTACCATGACCAAATGGGGGGAAGAAAAAGAAAATCAGCAATTATATAGCACTATCCTTAGTCCACGACATAGAGGTGGCAAAACATGATAAAATGGTTACTACAGCTCTTTTTATAGATGTAAAAGGAGCTTTCGACCATGTATCCACCAACCAGCTACTTAGAATATGCCTAAAACTAGGTCTTCCACATAACCTGATCCAGTGGATCAAATCCTTTATGTCGGACAGGAAAGTGTTCCTAGCTTTTGACGGCGAAACCAGCAACGAGACCCCAGTGCAAGTAGGGATCCCCAGGGATCACCTATATCACCTATCTTGTTCCTCATATATATTAGAGAGCTCTTTCAGCTTGAAATGTATGAGGAACTAGATAGTGATACAAGGAAAGCCTTTGGAAATACCCGAAAGCCTAGCTATATGGATGATATATGCCTCACTATCAGCTCTAATAGCCTAGAGAATAACTGCAGGCAAATAGAGCTGGTAGCCAACGCCATGTTTAAAAAGGAGCCAAAGACCATATCCAGTTTGACCAGGATAAAATAGAGCTTATTCACTTTAGCTCTAAACAACCAGACCAAGAAAACCAAGACACCCAGGTTAAACTAGATAATAATATTATAGTTAAACCAAGCCCTATGGTAAAATGGCTAGGAATCTACATAGATTCTAAACTCCTTTTAAAGAACACGTGCAAATACGAGTTGCAGCTGCAACTAGGGCATTTCACCAAATAGCGAGGCTCTCAAATACAGAAAAGGGGCTAAGCTTCCAAGCCATAAGACAACTTTATATTGCTTG